GAAGCAGTTACACGTGAGTCCAAGTTTCGAGATGGAAAAGAATTTTCACAGGACGACAGTGAATTGAAAATCCTGACGTGGACATGGTGAAACATTGGGTTGCGCTTCAGTTTGGTGCCTGCCGGATTCCGATTTGGTACATGCATCATTCCACGGTATATCTTGGGAGGAGTCGAAAGATACCAAATTTATCGTCGGATGACACAACGTTAGGAATTATGAGGTCTTCAAGTATTTGCATTATTCTCTGCGAAGAATACAGGGGAAGGGAGGGGGGGGGGTGGGCAGAAGCAGCCTGCCGTTGGATTCGCTTTCAGTGACTCCTGCGATGCTTCCAACTACTGTACAGTATATCATGAGTAAATGCGAGTCCCTGAAGGATCGTAACCAAGGCTAATAAATACGAGGTTGGGGGCAATAGGCGCTTCATTAACGTGCTTGGAGAACGAGATGAGGGAAGCGCATCCTCGTGACGTGACGCAGGCGAGTCTCGTTTCCACGGAGCTGGGTGGCTCAGCCGGGAGCTTCTTTGGCTATTGGCTATTTGGCTTCTTTGGCTATTGGCTATTTGGCTTCTTTGGCTTTGGTTCCTCAACCAAACGGAGCAGGCGTTTGTTTCCGGGTGTAGGTCGCCTCGGTTGGAAGCAGAGACTGAGAGGAATTTCCGTCTCGAGGGGCGTCGCGTTGAAGAATCCCAGCCGGGCAGGGCAAAATTGAGAGGTTCTTATGCCATTAGATGAGTTGGGGGGGGAGTTTACGGGTGAATGTCGCACTTTTTCTGAGGTGGCAGTGGCGCTCATTATTCCGAGGGAAGCTGGCTCCCTTCTCCTGTATTCTTCGCAGAGAATAATGCAAATACTTGAAGACCTCATAATTCCTAACGTTGTGTCATCCGACGATAAATTTGGTATCTTTCGACTCCTCCCAAGATATACCGTGGAATGATGCATGTACCAAATCGGAATCCGGCAGGCACCAAACTGAAGCGCAACCCAATGTTTCACCATGTCCACGTCAGGATTTTCAATTCACTGTCGTCCTGTGAAAATTCTTTTCCATCTCGAAACTTGGACTCACGTGTAACTGCTTCCTCCAAGAGGAGCAGCCCCTCTTTCCCATAGTCCACTAGGGATCCGTCATCCGCGAGGGCTGGAAGGGAAGTGGATGTTTTCGTGGAAGACGGGCACCCCGACTCAGGTCGAAAGCTGCGCATGCGCGTTGGGTTGTGTCGTCCGGTCGCCATGGCTACGCACTCCGGACAGACGGAATGAAACGCGACAGACCGACCGCAACATCTGACAGTATCCGGCGTCATTCCGCCTGCGTGCATTTTAGCGACCTCCTCGGTTTGAATGGAACGCACTTTCGAGACTCCCAGCGGGAGGCATTCCCGTTTTTCACATGAGAACATTTCATAGCAACTCTGCCTCGTTCCTGTTCCTCTCTCATTCTTCCTCGCTTGGCAAATTCCATGGGTTTTGCACAACAGGTGCAGTTTGGAGCCCTGGTAGATATGCATTCCCATCCTCTGGACGTAGAAAAGAATCACGATAAGGTATTTACCGAAGTGGTATGCTAAATCATTTACGGTTTTTCGACTTTCAGATTGAAGCTGTCAATTTGAACTGATCAAGAAAAAAAACAATACAATGATACGCTCATTGCAACATTCTAAGGCGTGTCTCCTTGCTTCAGGGAAAGTGTTATTGGATGCCTATTTCCACGTGTCAGATATGATGATTTTCTGTTTCATTGGGCATCCAAAAATTAACCAGAAAACGCTCTTTCGCCTCAAAACGAACCTGAATCCATGCATTCAAAGCCGTGGGATCGGAAATCGGCGAACGATCTCAAAGAAGAGAGAAGCTTGGGGAATTTCCGGTTTGGTGGTCCCGCGAACATTCGGGGAAAAATGAAGCATATGAAAATTCCATTAATTTTAAAGATAAATAATGCAGAGGGCATCCCGAGAGACCACATTAAAATTCCAATAGACGAACTCGTGACTCGCCTTGGAAACAGTCCATCTGCAATAAAGGACTTCGGAAGGACCTTTGACAAGGTCCGATCATTTCCGCGTCGCAAGTTTAAACGGCGGGATCTGGAAACCCCGATGTACCCGAATTCAACAACCCTTCCGGCCGTATTCGGAAGGGTTGTCGAATTCGGCAACCCTTCCGCTCCTTTTTTTCTTCTCCCCAAATTTAGATTTCGAGAGGAAGATGCACGAAAACGGTAAGTTTTCAAGGAACTTCATGTTTGCCATTTCAAGCCCATAATCGCTCCTCTACACTGATTATCCAGATTAAGCATTTTCCAAGCGTAGCAAAACGCGAAATGTGGAGTTTTGGGAGGCTTCACCAGGGAGAAGAAATAGCAAGTGTATATGTCACTATAGAAATATAATGATATGAAAATAATGTATAGAGATTCGTCATGAGCAATTATTGCATTTTTCCCCATCGTATGCAATAATTATCGTTGTCGTTGTCGATTATCGTTGTCGCAATCGTATGCAAATATGTAAATCGTTGGAGTTTCCTCATCCCCGTTAGGTCGCAGGGAAACTAATTGCTTTGCATGCGATTCACAGATTTTAGGCCTTGAAGCGAACTTTTAGTAATTGTTCTAATACGAGCAGTTTTAGCGATTTTTGGGTCCTACTTGTCATTTCACCCTACCCTCCAGGTATCCAAAAGGGAGTTTCAAATATCCGGTATCAAGTATCAGGTATCTAGTATCAAGTATCAAGTATCAGGTATCATGGAGACCGCTGCTGACGGAATAAAACGAAATCTTGTATTTATTATGAACATTGATCATGAATAGTTATATTTTATTTTCCAGCGGAATCTTATTCAGTGATGCTAAAAGGTTGGTGGGATTTTAAAAACATTAAGTGGAATGCATCACGTTTAGCATGGAAGGCTTTGAGCATGAACTTCAAAACTCTGGACCAAATTCAATCTACTTCATGAAGTAAGACCCACCACACACACTAAATGCATGTGTCTATGTGTGTGTCTCTGTGTGTGTCTGTGTCTGTCTGTACGTGTGTCTATGTTTAATGACCTACGTCTCAAATGACGATATCCGTGTCTTTAGCAATCAGCGATCGATCAGGGAAGGGTGACTTTCCTTAGCACCCGTAGTCAAGGAAAGTGTCGCTTCGACAAAAAACGTATAACTCCCAGAAAACGATCGATATGCCTTCATCGGTTCTCGGAGCAACGTGAATCTCTCGATTAACGTCGATCGATGCTGCCGTCACCCGAACGCACTCGTCGGTCTCTACGGCCGCAGCGAGGACGCCGAATGGAGACGGAGCAATTCGCCTCCTCGCAGCAGGGGGAAGGATATCGAAGCGGCTGGGATGTAGCGGTTGGGAGGTAGCGGCTGGAAGGCTGTGGAGCGGGCAGGC